CTTGTGTCACATCATCAGCAGTCTGATCTGGATCGGTCCCTGTATGGAGAGCTGAGCCCTCTGCATTTAGCGCTGTCCTTTTATTCAAATAATCACAGCACTTTTCAAGCCAGAGATACATAGTGCTTTACATGGTTCAGAACAGGAAAATAAGGAAATAGAATCGGTTACAAATGGAGTAAACCAAAGTAAAATGAGTCTAGATAAAAACAATACCACAGATAAACCAGCATAACCACAGCGCACACGCTAAAGCCTTTTAGAAATCTTACAAAAGAATCCAGCAGCAGCAGTGTAACTGGGAGCATGGGTGGGACCAGCTGAATCTCTGGCGGGTGTGCCGGCGGCCGTCCTCCTGCTGGATAATGACTTGTTGATAAAACAGAAGCTTAACTTGAGTCTAATTGGTCCTTTGAGTGTCAGTCTGTTTGACTGACACTCAAAGTGGCAGCCGTTCCAGGACACAATTTGGCAGGTCTGACGTTTACCATCAGACTTTGGCATCTTAGCATGCTAACATTTGTTAGCTGTGGCTCAGGGGAATGTTAATATTTCTGCAGATGTTTGTTCATAAAGTACTGGACACATCAATATGGTGACCTGATGGTGGAGCTGGATGAAAAGTCAGAGGATCAGCAAAGTTACAACAGTTCAACCTGAGGACACATGAACATCTGAACCACATCTCACCACAGTCCATCCAACAGTCTTCAAGGAGTTTCAATAGAGGGTGACTGCACACACCACACTGCTCATGTTGCTTCAAGAAGGAGCACTGTGGCAGTTTTTGTGCCTCCCTCCACCATCACATCTCATCCTGAGCTTTTTGCTGTGAGCCTTACAGGTCAAAGGTCACTGTCCAAAGGTGACTCTGTGACCTTGGGGTGGTTGCTCAGGCTGACCTGGGATCGGCACTGATGGCTAAGTGTGTCTGCTGTCGCCTTGGGCAACAGTGAGCCCATGTGAAGCTGTGATCCTGGATCAGGACAGTCCTGCACCAGACCTACAGAGTTCTGAGAAGATTCCTCAGTCCTAAACCACATCTTTGTTTAAAATGTTCACAGCTTCTGAGAGGATGTGAACAGGAAGTTGTAATAAAGTAGTTCTAGTTTGTCACAATGTTATAAAGACTGTGGCTGTCCTCTGAAGTGCTACATGGATCTTTAAATGCCTCAACAGAACAAATGAAAGGAAGTACACAAGTATTTCTACAGCTCATTTTCAAATGAACATGTGCAGGCAAGCTGCAGCTCTGAGACCAGGCGGCAGCCACAGGGTGAGAACACGATGGCAGGAATTCGTTTTTCAGCACACAAACCTTTCATCTCATATGTTTTATGGTTTGACACCGGTGGTTAAAGATGCCAGAGTTTGCTGCAGGTCCTGTGACTGCGCTCCTCTCAGTGAGGACCTGAGACCTCCAGGCAGCTTTAGATGTTACTGAGATGATCCTGCTTCAGTGGGAACCACATGAAAACCATATTCATAAAGACTAAACAGCCCAGTTTGTCTGAGACACTGACAGCATCAGAAACGAAGCAGTAGAAACTTTCAGTGACGTCACAGAGACAAAAGGCTGGGCTCCTTCTCCCCCATCTGGTGTCCATTAACTGTAGTTTGACTCTAATCAGACTGGTGCCGCTGCACTGTGACAATAACGGCCTGCTGGGTGTCCATTTAAAGATACGGCCCGGCCCACCTGAGCCCCCAGCTTGAGTGTGACTCACTGTATTCATTGTGCTCTCTAATCAATATGAGTGACCCCTCCCTGTCACCCTGTGGGTGGAGCTGGAGGCCGGCGGCCTGCTGCCTCCTCCATCTTGTCCTGATCAATATTTAATGAGGTGACAAAACAGTACAGGTCTCATTGAGAACCTGGGCACAGAGCAGCAGAATCACTGCTTAACGAAAATAAGACTGAATGTGTGCTATTTGGAGACTTGGTGAACTTAGCTTCTTCTGACCAGGGTCTGAGGCCCCTGGCTCCACATCTGAAATCTAGGGGTGATGTTTGATGTCGACTTGAGGTTTGACAAGCAAATCAACTCAGCTGTGAAATCTAGCTTCTTCCACCTCAGGTTGTTAAGTAAAGGCAAGTCATTCCTTTCTTTTAATGATTTTGAGATTGGACTCCATGTTTTTATCACTTCTAGACTTGACTGTCACAATGCTCTATACGATGGTGTTAACCAGTCGTCCCTTACTCGTCTCCAAAGGGTTCAAAATGCTGCTGCTCGTCTTCTGACAGGTACTAGGACATTCAAGCATATAACCCCGGTACTGGTTTCTCTCCACTGGCTTCCAGTCCGTTTTAGAATTGACTTTAAGTTATTTATTTATCTTAATGGTTTGGCTCCATCTTACTTCACTGAATTAATGCATTGGCACAAACCGTCATGGTCCCTCAGATCTTCAAGCCAGTTTCTTTTAGAGGTTCCTATGGTCAGATATGGACACTGGGGTGACCGTGTTTTTACTGTTGCAGCCCCTAAATGATGGAATAGTCCACCTTTTAATGTTAGGTCAGCTACTGACCTCAGTACTTTTAAATCATTGGTTAAAACATATTTATTTGGCTTATAGGGCCTGATGCATTCCTTCTAATTTAATTTATTGAACGTGTGTCATCTTTATTTTTGCACTGAATCTATTTATTTTATTTTAGTTATTTATTGTGATTTTATTCCACCCTGTAAAGTGCTTTGTTGAATTGGATGTTGTTTTTAAAGTGCTGTATAAATAAATTTGATGTGATTTGCTCACATGGTTCCCTGCACATCGATGTTTAAGGCCTGCTTCACATGGCTGGTTGTAAACACTGCATGTGAACGTGGGCCATTCGCAGGCTGCTGTTTAGTAAATGAACACTGTCATACATTTCCATTGCTACACAGACCATCCTCGGCTAGATTGATCTATGAACCCAGATGAATCAAATCAGTGGGTCTTATAGACATAAAGGTCTGGAGGACCTGGAATGTTTAACTTCTAAACTTTGACAAAACTGAAGGTATGGTAATAAATATGCCATCTAACCATATACCTGTACTGTACTGTGCCAAGGTCTTGGGCCACCATTAGTTGTCTTGTTTTAGCAAGGTGTAATGATAATGCCTCGACTTCTTGTCTCCATCAGCAGAAAACTAACCCCCCCCCCCCCCCCCCCGTGGGTGGTCTTTGTTCTGTGTGTGTTCTTGTATTTGCTACTTAGTGAGGACCAAAAAGCATTTACATTTTTTAAACTTATCTATATATTTGTTTATTTTTGCTACAGAGTGCAGACACTTTGGCCAGTCCTCAGTTTCTGAAACACCTTCTAGAGGGTCAAGCCTTGGTTTTAGGGTTGAGCCAAACCTCAACCCTAAAACCAAGCGGCTGGGAATGCATTATGTCAATAAATGTCCTCACAAAGATAGAACGACCCATATGTGCCACTGAACCAGGGACAGACTTGGCTTCGTCCTCTCAGCAGTCACAATAGAAATCTAATTAAAACTTGCTGGACCTCATTATGAGTCTGCAGGTGCGCGCGGGCCGCTGGGCGGTTAATCCCGCTCAATTAGTGCACGGCCCGCGCACACCAACAATACAGCAGAATCAGCGTCGGGGGCGCGCAACCAACGCGTCCCGAGAGATTAAATGTGGTGCTGCTTTGGGCACATTCAGATGAAGCTCTGACACAGATGTGAAGCCTCGTGGCTGCTAGACCACTGGTGGAAAGTTAATTTACAAGTACTGTAGCTACGTTAAGTCCTGGGGAACTTGTACTTCGAGTATTTCCACGTCCTGCTCCTTTATCCTGTGACTTCACTCCATGTCAGAGACAAACCGTGTACTTTTTACTACACTACATGTACCTGATACCTTCAGGTCCAGAACCAGATGAATGAAACCAAAACCAGTAGAACCATCAGACTCTACTGATCCCGGTGGGAAATATAGTTTTGAGAAAAAATGTGAATTTTTAACATTCCGCTAATTATTTGTCTGCAAAGCGCTGAATATTACGAAGAGTATAAAAGATATCAGCGGGAAAGTGACTGGGATCATGTGGTAATGGAGCTGAGGAGTTGGAATGGATGTGAACATGAACAGGAATCAGTGGGACAGTAGTAAACTGCTTGTCATTACTCTGTTTTACTCAGTCACACGCTCCTCTCTTTGCTTCTGTCTTTTGTTCTTTTCTGGGACTTGGCAGGACTCTAACCCCCACCCCCCCCATTTGTGTGCCCATCCTCTACACGTGCACAGACAAGACCGCTGCTGCTGGATGTACAAGTCTGAGGGGAGGGGGCCGGTTCACCCAAACCACCGTACAACACCCTCATAATGTTCTTATAACACTTTTATAATGGCTCCATGAGAAAGTCCATGCGACCTCGTTACATGACGTCTCCTGCAGCCCTTCACATCTCATGGTCTCAGTGAATTTCACACATTCTGTTGTTCCTGCATTCTAAAACAGTAGCCTATTACTTCTTGACTTGTATTTTAATAAATTCAAAGTACAGCTCTTTAACTAGCCCTGAACACACATTGGCCTATAGAACAGCCCACTAATACTGTTTTGTTGTTGTGTTATTTGTATAACAGCAGAGTTTTGTCTCCTCATTAACATAACAGTAACATTCACAATAGACGAGCTTTGTTTGGTGAATTTGTGTCCACCTGCTGCTCGGAGCAAACCGTCATCTTATTAATAATAATTATCATAAAAACATGCCCATTGTCTACATCCAGGCAGCTGTGAAGGCTGTTTGTTACTTCAGATGATGGGACATTTCTGCAGAGGGATGACAGAGAACAGGTTTGTTTTATAGAAACGTTATAACTTTATTTTGTAGAAAACTGGCTGCAGCAACACAGTGCCAAGTAAATAGAATAAAAATCTCTTTATGTACAAAATACAGATTTCATGTGACCAAACCAAACGAGTCGAATAAATAAAAATAATCAACAATCTAACAGAGAG